TTTCTAAATTGAATGAAGATGTCTTATGAACTCCCAGAGCTCTGATAAAGGGTACTTTGTGGAATCAAACCCAAAGTCATTGACCTGGCCGTCAAGACCCTCCTTTAATTGCCTGCTGCCGCCTGCTACCTCCCCTCCAACTTTCTCCATGCCAGTCTGTCACTGCTCATCTGCAGTCTTGGCTTAGCTGAGTTTCCCTGCCTCGCACTGTACGATGTGTCCATTCTGCCTGACCGGCAGCAATGTATACAGGGCTCCCGCATTGGGGCCACACCTCCTAAAGGAGGCCATGAGTCCCCCGCCAACCCTCTGTGTACTCAGGCTCCAGGACATTTTTAGTCATGTAAACCTCAGAGGTAATGTTTGCTTACAGGCACAATTTTTAGGAATTTCCAAGCACGCTAAAGTAAGAAGGGCTGGCAAAGCCACCTGTTATTCTGCATTTGGTCTTCATATGCGGAGCGCCAAGCCCAGGGGGATTTGGAGCTGCTCTGCTCCCCCCTGGGGGCCTGTGCTTCATTGGCCAAAGATCCAAAGCACAAGGCATCACTGTCTGAGCCAGGGAAGCTGATCTCCAGGGAAAATTCTTCCCCTCACAATTCATAGCACAACCAGAAAGCTGAATGTTCCAATACGCTGCGCAAATGGACCACCGTGACATGGGATACCCGTTGTCGAACTTTGTAATCGTACCCGTCATTCAATATTCAGCACATGTATTTGATCTCTTCCTTTTCTCAGCTTCCCCTTCTTCCTCTGAGCTCCGACTTCACTCCTCTCACCAGCCTCCCCCGCCCCCACACTCACCTGCCTTCTGGGAAGTGCTGACTCAGAGTCACTTTCCTCTCAGGGATGCAGCAAGGGGGTTTCCAGATGTGCAATTAGGGAGGAAGGTTCTGATTGTTTCCTGTGACTCAGGACTCTATAGGAAGTGCAGTTGCAGGCTGGTGGGATTAAAGGAGGCACGACCTTGAAATGTGTGTCCCTCGGAGACTATCCCAGGTTGTACCACGAAACCACGCAACACATCCGACTGAAGGGAGGGAAATGATGAAGTGCTCGCCCGACTCCACGCTACGTAGGGCTGAGATGCCTGGTCACGTGCCCTGTAAACAGGTGGGCTGTTCACGACAGTGTGACCCAGCTAGCATCTCGGGGAAATTTGGCATTGCTCAGGGCAGTGGGCTAAACTAGCAATTTCTACGCTGGTTGTTATTAAGGCTGGCCCGTTTGAGCCTTTCATCTCCACAAATATTGAAGGACGAGAGGTCTCTTGAATGATGACAGGATCTGAAATCTTTGCCTGGGGTTAATATTTTGGCAACTGTATGCTGGGAGCTGCAAAGTAGAAGTAGTAGTAGTAATAATATCTTTATATTATTATGAAGTAATAATTGCTGCTTTTGATTGAGCAAATATGACATGTTAAATATTCTCTCTATATCATTTATTTTTTGTTTTTTTTCATTTTTTATTGTATATATGTAAGGTATACAACATGATGTTTTGATATACATAATGAAAGGGTTACTGTATTCAAGCAAATTAACATATCCATCATCTCACATAGTTACCGCCCTCCCCCCTCCTTTTTGGCAAGAGCACGTAAAACCTACTCTTATGACAAAAATCCTAAATATAATACAATAATATTATTAACTATAGTTCTCATGTTGTTCTTCAGACCTTTAGACATATTCTTCCTACATATCTGAACATTGCAGCATTATTCACCATAGCCAAGATGTGGAAGCAGCCAAGTGTCTGCTGACAGATGAATGGATAAAGAAACGGTACTATGTATATACAGTGGGATATTATTCAGCTTTTACAAAAGGACATTCTGCCGCTTGCCACAACATGGATGAACTTGGAGGACGTTATGCCAAGTAAGCCAGACACAGAAAGAAAAATACTGCATGATCCCACTTATATGTGGAATGTAAAAAAAAAAGAATCCACAGAGATAGAGAATAAGATGGTGGTTACTAGAGGTCGGGGGATGAAGGGAAGGGATGGGGAGATGTAGGTCAAAAGATATATTATCTCATTTAATCATTACAATAACCCTATGCCATAAGTGATATCCACTTTTCCACTGGAAGGATCCAAAGCTTAGAGAGTTTAAATAACTTTCCCAAGCTGTTAGGTAGCCAAGCTGTGATTCAAACCAGATCTGAGTGAGGCCCGTGCTCTCGATCTTTCCTGCCACCCTGCCCTGCCCCCTACACCACGGGCACCCGGCAAGACCAGGCTGGCTAGGAGCAGACAGAAGCTCACTCTGCTTCTGCACCTGCCGCCCGTAGGTGCCCCCGCCTGGCATTGCTACGGAGCAAATCCTCTGGGCTGCTCTGCTGCCGCCCTGGGATTCTGCCCTTTAAGTTTGAGAAATTCTGGAATAAAGCAAGTTTTATTACACGAGTCGCTTTACACAGATTCTCCGGCCAAGCCTCAAGGCTCTGATACCTCTGCAAAGAGCAAGCCTGGTCTGTGCCCGGTGAGGGGCACGCGGTGGCAGCGGGGCTGGGGGAGAGGCTCTTCTCTCCCCCAGTATGGGTGCCTGTATGGGTGCTGTATGGGTGCCCATCCAGTGTTCTCCACGACACATGGAAAGAATCAAGCTGGGGTGCCAATTTGGGATTTGATGGGCATTTGTAATGGCCTCGAAATACACCTTGTAAAACCACAAGATGATTTCACACCCATTTTTTTTAGAGCTGAGGCCATGAGAAAATCTAAAGAAAGTATGACAGAGGCAGCTGACATTCCGGATGAATTTCCCTCATCCAGTGCGGATGACAAGTACTTTTCTAGGGAGAAAGCATTCTTTCCCATCAACCGCCTCAGTAGGCGCTCCAGGAGAGGGTGGCTTGGGGACAGGACAGGCACAGGAGGTGACGAGAGTCAACTAGTCGGGTCTTGGCTACTGCTAAATGTCCTGTCCATTAATGTTCACGAAATGCTCTGCGAGTTGATGTCAGTATGATTTTCTCTTGATTTTCTTTACAAGTCTGGCCCTTGGGAAGCATCCAACAGGGAGGTAGAGTGGAGAGGAGGAGAATATATAGGGAGACATTTTTCTTTCCTTTATGATCAAGAGGTAGTTTGCTTGTGACATTCTGCATATGAAGGTAGACTTCATTTTTATCTATTTAAAATTTTTCTAAATACACTCAGAACAAGCATCATCGTAAACCCACTGGCACAAGCTACCGAGAAAGGCTATTTAGTCACAGCCCCTGGATCCCTCTGAGATGAAATCCTGGCAGCACTTGACCATCCTGGGAGCTTCTAGATTGTGCTCAAGTCAAGCCAGAGAAACGGGCTGGCTCTCTAGGGGGATCACTACCCCCAACAGACCTGGAACTCGTGACCTCGGTGGCCGGAGGGGAGTGGGGCCAACATGCCAGGCTGGAAGCCGGAGCATTGGGTCTGAGGACTGGCTCTGCACTCACCCAACATAGACCTCAGACAAGTCCGTTAACCTCTCCTGGGCACCGCCTTCATCTGCGAACTGACGACCACTGAGGATAATAACGGAAGTGATGCTTCTCTGCCAAGGAAGCTACACTCAGTAAATAAGTTACTACGTGTGGAAATCCTTCATCAACACTAAAGCATTCTGCAACAGTAAGGTGTAAATGTTTCTGCATGTGAGGGGCTATGTCAGCCTGGTTCCTAGGAGAACAACACAAGCAGAGGATGCCCTCGATACGAATACATTTATAATGCTATTTTATATCTACAGGAAGAAAAGCATGGTTATTGTTCTAGAGCAGGATAGAAACATTTTTAAATATTTTTCTTTGTGTCACAGACCTCTTTGAATATCTGATAAAACCACAAGTGCTTTCTCACTTTCTTTAAAAAAAAGAAAAAACAGCAAAAATAAACTGTGCTAATAAATCTATCCAATAACCCTTTACATACACTTTCCCGGAGCCCATGGCCTCTAACACCACGCAGCTTAAGAAAAACCTGTTCCAGAGACTAGAGGCTTCAGCTCCCCGACTGACGTCCAGGAGAGAACGGACCGTGTAGAATAATGAACACGACAACAATGTTTGGCATCTGCCTGAGAAAAATCCTAGAGGCAGCATGCCTGGGATTCTAATGTACTCATACAAGGCTCTTGAAAAAATAGTTCACGTCTGATTTTAACCAGTTTGAGTTCAAATGTGCTCAGGCTAAAAAACGTGTCTGCCCCACGAATGTGGCCACCCTTCAGCTCACTGATGCTTCTGTGCAAAAAGTCGAGGTCTGGATATCTGAATCCTCCCGCCTCCACAATGGGCTGCTATCCGGTGACAGCCGCGAGGTCCCCTTACCTCGGGGCGAGGCTCTTCCAGGACGCTCAGATGCCTGCTCGGAGCCCGGCTTATCGGGGGATCTGCGAGCTCCTGCCAGCGGCCTGGCTGTGTCCACCCTGGCCCATCTCGGGCGACTGGATTTTACCCCGAGTAACACGCAGTCTTTAGCTAAGGACTGTCCCTACTAAGTAGAATTTCATTTTGGACCCAGAGAATTCAGGACTGGGGCCAGCTCAACCCAGGTGGAAATGTAAAAAAAAACCCGCACCAAGATCAAGTCAAACTGGGTGGTGAGACCACGTCCAGCGGTGGAAGACGAAAAGGAAAGAAAACAGCAGAGAGGCAAGGCACTGTCACGCTTTCTCCACCCAGCTGGGGCCTTCCACGGGGGAGCACAGAAGCTGCTTGCACCAAATGGTGCACTAAGCCAGCCGGGGCGCTTGCTTTCAAGCTCACAGCGCAATACCCCCCGCCTTCGGGTTGTTTATGGCATCTTGGCTTCCGGATGCAAATATCCCCCCATGAGAGATGCGCGGGTGACCGAGCCGGGCTCGCTGGGGTCCCAGAGATCAGAGGCCTCCCGGAAGGCAGATGGCGCGAGGCCTGGATGTCGCCTCCTGCGCTTCCAGCTAGATCGGGTGGCGGCAGCGCAGGCAGCTGGAAGGCACCCACGGGGAGAAACCGAGCACCATGTTCAGAAAGATCCACTCCATCTTTAGCTCCAGCCCGCAGAGGAAGGAGGCAGCCGAGAGCCCCTTCTATGACGGAGCCAGCCCCACGGTTAAGCTGATTCGAAGCAGCTCCATGTACGTGGTTGGGGACCATGGGGAGAAATTCAGCGAGTCCCTGAAGAAATACAAAAGCACCAGCAGCATGGACACCAGCCTGTACTACCTGCAGCAGGAGGAGGACCGGGCGTGGATGTTCTCCCGCACCCAGGACTGCCTGCAGTACCTGCAGGAGCTGCTGGCCCTGCGCAAAAAATACCTCAGTAGCCTCGGGGACCTGAAGCCCCACCGCGCCCCGGGCGTTTCCCAAACCTCCTCCAAGTCCTCCAAAGGAGGGAAAAAGGCCCCCGTCCGGTCCACTCCCAAAGAAATAAAGGTAAGCGCTGCTGAGTGTACAATGTAGATGAGAGTTCCTCACCTGTTGGAAAGCTTTTTCCCACCCACGCAGGGTTTAATTTGACGCATTCTGAGCAGGGGTTCAGTAGTCCTCAGAGACTTCCCATGGCTGTCTCCCCAGCCTGGGGCAGGGTGGGGAAGCCCATGTTTATTTTGAATGCTGAGGAAGCACGGAGGGGCAGCTCATGGTGTCCACAGAGCAGCCTGGGGGGGAAGACGTGGGCTTTGGTGTCACGTGGCCCCTAAGTTTGCATTGTATGTCTGCCATTTACTGCCCGACTTTATAGATCAGACAATGCTTGTATGGATGACAGTGAATAATTTTCCAAGAAATTTATTACTCTTTAAAAAATTGTTATTATCGTCTCTAAAAGTCCTGGCGAAAAGGGAAATCTTCATACGAACTAGATGTTTTCAAATATCTGGGTGCTTAGCCCCATGCTAGCCGAGGAACTGGAGGATTTCCTCCGTGTGTACCTTGGGCCCAGGCATGCTGGTGGCTCAGCCGTGGCTACAGAGAGAGTCTGTGCCTCTTTCAGGAGACTGCTGATGACTTTGGGCACTGGAGGCCCCAGACAGACACAAGCATGAGATTAGCGAAAGAAAGAGCTTGCATTTATCTAGTTGCTGGTACTTATCACAGTGTTTTGTACACATGGTCTTTTTTGAGCATTCCAGTAATGCCAGTTCAGAAGGCAGGGGAGAACTCCTATATCACAGCAGGGCAACTTTGGCATAGTGACCCTGCTCCAGGCGTGAGGTCACCTGATTCCAATTATGAGTCCCCAGTTCATTCAGTTACTCTTGCTTTCATTTCCTCAAATTTGGTGCTGATGCCTGTGGTTCGAGGCTGTTCTGTCCTATACTCTCATCACTCATTTTCCCCGATGCCCATACTAGCAGGTGTTCAGAGCCAGCCTGTCTCCCACTTCCTTGCTGTCTCCCGGGATTGTCCCGCAGGCTGCACAAGCTGCATTAATGTTGAATGACTGATTGGCCTGCTATCAAATCTCTAGCTAGGGCTTGCCCTAACCCGACTGGTTTCAACTGTGCATGTTATACCAGGTGGGAGCAGTTTAAACAATCATTTTAACTCCAAAAGGATATCAGCGTTGGGGCCCATACAAAAGGGTCCTAGTCTTGGGTCCCAGCATTGACCCTGTGTCCAGCTAGCTGTAGGCTTGTGGGCCAGTCACCTGCTCTTTCGGTGCCACCTCTGATAACAGAGGGGGTTGCAGTGGTTTCTGAACTCCTTTCTAGCTTGAATATTCAGGGGTTCCAGGCTCTGGTTAGATTTCCTCTAGGCACTATATTACCCCGCACATGGAGCCCGCACTTATTGGACCTGGCTAGCTCCCTTCCTTGCTGAGCTCTCTGAAGGTAGAGGGAGGGAACAGAAGCAGAATGACCAGCTCTGGCCCCATCAAATGGCCATGAGGAGGGACACAGACCTGATACAGATTTCCTCGGGAGATGCTTCTCACCATAGTGCAATCAGGGAAGAGTTTTGAAGGGTCCTTGAAGTCAATCAGACCAAGGTTTGAATTTTAGCTCTGCTGTTTACCACCTGTGTGCCTTTTTCAAGTGAGGATTACTTCCCTGGGCCTCTTTTTCTGTAGCATAGAAATGGAAACAATGATACGCCTTGAGCGGAGTCAGCAAGATGCTGCACGTGATCACACCTGGCACGTACTGGGTACCCCGGTATTTACTCACTTTGAAATGCTGGGTGCAGGAGGCTCTTAGCAGTCTTTAGACGAGCTTCTCTCCTTCCCTGCAGCTCCTGCAGAAAGCTCTGCGTGCTGGGCTTGCCTGTGAAATGAGGGAGCAGGCTCTGTGGCTAGCAGGGTGGCCCGTGGCTGCCTGGGCCTGTGTGCACTGCAGGGACAGGGACTAGAACTAAGCACTCCCCTGGAATGCTATTCCTCTCCTGCTTTGGGAGGGGAGAAAACCCCGCTAATGCTCAAGGTTTAGGTAACACCATTCTTTTCCCCGACTTCCTGTTATGGGTTGAATTGTATCCCTTCAAAATTTGTGTATTGAAATCTAGCCCCCAGTATCAAAGAAAGTGACATTATTGGAAATAGGGTCATTGCAGATGTAATTAGTTAAGATGAGGTCATCATGAAGTAGGGTGGGCCCCTAATCTAATATGACTGGTGTTTCTATAAGAAGACTGCTACGTGAAGACAGAGATACAGGGAGAACACCACATGAAGACTGGAGTTACGCTGCCACAATCCAGGACCTACTAGAAGCTGGGAGACAGGTCCTTCACCAGTCCCTTCAAAGGAACATGGCCCTTCTGACGTCCTGATCTCAGACTTCTGGCCTCCAGAACTGTGAGACAATAAGTTTCTATGGCTCTAAGCCACCCAGCTTATGGTAGGTACTTTGTTATGACAGCCCTAGGAAGCGAATACACCCCTCTATAGAATTAGCCTCTTTTCTTCTCCAGCATTGGTCCGGACACATCTCTGTTTTAGCATTCATCACATCCTACTGTGGGTTGCTGAAACCTGTGTCTCCCCTGGTGGACTACAGTGAGCTTGGTGAGCTTGAAGCTGAAACAGTATCCTTTTCATTTTCTATCCCCGGAGCATAGCAGCGAGTACTGTCGGTCACTTGTGGATGTTTTATAAACTTGCAAAGTCTGATGTCTTTGTGCTGTAGATCAAGGGAGAGCTCGCCTTCATTTAGGGAGTGAGCAGTGTTCTCTGTGGCCCCAGGGCACCCCGGCAGGCCCTCCCTCCCGCCCTCCCTGCAGATACCAACCCCAGGTATCTTAGACAGAACCTAAGTGCCCTTGTCTATCCCTCTTTTGTGGCAAGATAGTGGCTTTTAAAGTATGTTGATTAAGGTTCATAGTAGTAAGAAATATATTTTAGATATTGACCCAGTTTACCCGAACACACAAGCAAAACAAAAGTTTCATGACATACTCTTACTCCTGTTCCTTGCTCGGCACCCATGCGGGTGGATGGGAGGAGGACGTGAGGACACAGTAGAAGTGAGGTGAGCGGGGAGGGGGGGTGTGGGAAGCCCCCCAGAGACCCTGCGTGGTGGGGTCCTTGCCAGGCCCTGTGACAATCTGCTCCTCCCTCAGAATAGGAGGCCATTACAGAAATGAATGAAACACACTTTTTGCAACATTTTAAAATCAAAACAACAACAAAAATCCGTATCTGAGGATTTTTGTGTCAGTGCTGGGCATGAGCTGCAGTTTGGGACTCACTGTTCGGATGCTCACGTCAGAATTTCCAACTCCGGGCACCACGCACGTGGCAGAAGGAGAACGTATTTGAAGTGGGTCCTGTCCTGGAGCGTAGCCTCTGAATCAACAGGGCAGGCCCCGCTCTGCTCTGGGCACCGTGGGCGATTCTGCCGGTGAGAAGCGGTGACGTTCTGCAGCACTCCCGTGCCACCGCCCAGACACCCTCAGGAACAGCCAGCAGTTACCGCTGACTCCTACTTGTCCTCCAAACCTGACGTGCTGGCGCCTAGCACCATTCTACAGAGGGGTGTGCCCCTCCTGAGCCCAGGGGAGAACTCAGGTGCCGGGGGATGGATGAACCACATACCCTTTGTCAAAATCCTCTGAAGACGTGGTTCACCCCAGGAGAGAAAAACGTCCGTGAAAAGTCAAAAGCTGTCCTGTTGTGTCTTGCTATGGCCACTGCACCCCCACCCAGCACGTTGGAAAGCCAGTCGCTCTCTCTGCAGCTTGTTCCAGGGTCACGTCGGGGGCTTTGGCCTGTGTGTTCCTCCTCCGCGTTGCTTTACTTCTCTCCTTTCTCTCCTTCCCATAAACATCACTTCTCTCAGCTTGGCTTTTTTTTTTTTTCCTAATAATAGCTTTACTTTTCATATATAAAACTCACACGTTCAAAGTGTACAAATCAGTGATTTTTAGTCTATTCAGAGTTGTATAATCTTCCCCACTATCTAATTCTGGAATATTTTCATCACACAACTTTTTTTTCTTTTTTCTTTTTTTTTTTTTAGTGTGGCAAAATAAGCATAGCATAACATTTACCATTTTCAGAATGTCACTTTACAGTTCCTTAAGTGAGTGCTTTTTAGTGTCCCAAAATTATGGGTAATGAAGTCTATTAAAGTCAATGAATTCTTAAGAAATTAAGTGCTTTTCTTTGAATGATTTTGTATCAATTTTTTAAGAGTAAAAATGCATACTGCTAGGTATCTTTCAAATTATTGATAGCTGGACAGTAACCAGAGTCCTTCACACTAGACTTTCACGAACTTTTCCAAATTATAATTTATGTAAACCCATAACAATTCATCCAAAAGACTGTTAAACACTAATTAACATATTTTTGGAACACTTTATGAAACTGTTGCTAGTAGTACACTAGAAAATGAACTCCTTAAGAGATCACGGACACTAAAAATACTTCATTTAGGAATCAGAAGAAAGCTTTTATCAAAAGTTTGACAATTACTTCTTTAAATATAAAACAGTCTTTTAAAGTAAAATATTTAGAAATTCAAAAAATTACCACTGTAACTATTTTTAAGCATACAATTCGGTGGCACTGAGTACATTCACCAAGTTGTGTCATCATCACTACCATCCATCTCCAGAAGGTTCTCATTATTCCAACCAGAAATGTTGTATCCATTAAACACCAATTCCTCATTTCTCCCCCTCTCCAGTCTGTCATGGCCTCTGTGCAACTTTCTATCTCTGTGAACCTGCCCACTCTAGCTCTCATATAAATGGAATCATGTGTGCAGTGTTCAGTATTTGTGCCACTGGCTCATTTAACTGAGCATGTTTTCAAAGTTCAGCCGTGTTGTCACATGTGCCAGAACTTCCTTCCCTTATGGGCTGATCAGCTGGGGTTTTGATGGGAAGCGAAGAAGAGAAGTTTGAGACTGTGCTCTGACTCTGACCAGAGTGTTTGCTGGTATTTGGGGTCCTCCCTGAGGAAGCTCCCTACACTTCCACGGCCAGAT